ATTTTTGTTGCTCTGGATGCAGCGAAGGACTAAATCGCCTATGCCGAAGGCGCGACCCCGCACGCGTCGGCTATGGTACCATCATAGCGCCTGCTGGTATTTGGTCAAACGGAGTAGGGCGATGTCGCATGCTTCGTCAAGCAGGTCCATGGCGTCTTCCAAAGATGTTTTGTTTCCCTGCTCGTTGTAGGCCTTGACCCTTGGCGCTCCGTAGTCGAGGTCGTTGGGGAGGATGGCTTCGGAGTCGTAGACCATGAAAAACGGCGCGTAACCGGTTGCCCGGCTGCTGGACGTCCTTAGGCTCTAGAGTACCGAGGGGAGCTCCGTGACCCATCGTTCGTCGGCTTTGTTGAGCCGGTTGAAGATCCTAGGCTTGAGGCCTTGGAGGATCATGTCGTTTGCATGCTCGACCTACCCATTCGTGCAGGGGTGCGCTACGGCAGCCCAATCAACGCGGATGTGGTGGTCATCACAGAATCGGAGGAATTTCTTCCCCGTGAACTGTGTGCCGTTGTCGGTTATGATGGAGTTTGGGACCCCGAATCGGTGGACGATGTCCATGAAGAACAATACGGCCTACTCAGATTTGATCACGGTGATCGGCCGAGCCTCTATCCACTTTGTGAACTTGTCCATGGCGACAAGTAAGTGCGTAAAGCCCCCGGGCGCCCTCCTGAGGGGCCCTACCAGGTCGAGCCCCCAGACCACGAACGGCCACGTGATGGGAATCGTCTGGAGCGCTTGGGCCGGCAGGTGAGTTTGCCGAGCGTAGTACTGGCATCCTTTGCAGGTGCGTTCGACCTGCTCAGCGTCGGCCACCGCGGTTGGCTAGTAGAAACCTTGCCGGAATGCATTTCCGACCAAGGTTCTACCCCTGCTCGGTGGGGATGCAACGCTGCAGTATTTCGGTGTGGATGCGCTTGTAGAGCTCCCCTTTGATGACGACGAAGGACTTGGTGTGACGCGCGAGCCATCGGGCCTCCGTCTTGTCGGCAGGGAGCACCTCGTGGAGGAGGTAATCGAGATAAGGTGTTCTCCAGTCGGTCGGAGGGTCGGGCTGTGCCACTAGGTCTTTGACGAGTTCCATGACCTCGATGTCGGATGGAACTATGGGTCGGTCAGCCCCAGAGCCCAGAACTAGCGGCTCATTGTCGGTCTGTTCTGGTTCCTCATATCGGACCGAGGGCTTGTCCAGGTCGCTAGCGAAGATGCCGGTGGGGGCCGGCTCTCGGCTCGATGCCATCTTTGCTAACGTGTCGGCTGCTTCGTTGAGCCGCCTCAGAATATGGTTGAGCTCGAGGCCGTCGAACTTGTCCTCCAACTGTCGGACCTCATGACAATACTCAGCCATCTTGTCGTTGTGGCAACTTGACTCCTTCATGACTTGGTCGATGACCAGTTGCGAGTCGCCTCGGACGTCAAGCTATCGGATGCCCAACTCAATGGCGATGCGCAAGCCGTTGACGAGTGCCTCGTACTCAGCCACATTATTTGAAACCGGGAAGTGGATGCGAATTGCGTACCTCATGCGCACCCCGAGGGGGGGAAACGAAAACCAGCCCGACCCCGGCGCCCTTCTTCATCAGTGATCCATCGAAGTACATCGTCAAGTACTCCTGATCGACGGCCGCCGGTGGCATCTGGATCATTACTAAAAACACATGCTATACAGATAACAAGATAGGATCCTCAGTGGTTCAGTATACTTCCAGTTCATGGTTGCACATTGGCCGCCTCGTCTGGGCGCTGCTGGACAACGGCTGCCGCATGTGGGCACGGCCAAGCGCCACACGCCCCTGCAAGGAACCGGCTTCCCTGCCTTGCCCCATCTTCAACCAAACCTGGATGGGAGAAGACGGGAGGGCACTACTATGGCAGGTGGAGCTAGGAACACGGCAAACATCCAGAAAATTGGCGCGAGGAGGGGAGGACGAGCGCGGGAGGAAGATTGGGAGCGCGCCCTCGTCTTGCACATACGAGGGGCGCGGGTTCAATTTTCCAGAGCGACCAAATCTTGGGGAAGGTCTGGAGAGCTATTGAACCGATGATTTTCTTCTAATCACGTAAATTTTAGTTTTGGGAGTATTATTAGTTTTCTCTTAGAGATGCTCTGAAGTCCTAACGTGGGCAGCTTAAAGCTATGGAGGTTGCTGACAAAATTGCGTTGCGCCAACACTGACAAGCAGTGAAGTCAAAAAAAAAACTGACAAGCAGTGACGACGCGACCCCGACCGTAGCTAGTACTACAATGAATCTACTCCTAGCTTCTTGTGGGTTCGTCCGAGCCGAAACAGTTTATGTGACGTGCGGAATGGGTCTCGTGGTTTTTGTTCGTGTTCTGCCCGTGCGTGCAGTGCAGGGGTATATATGATATGATGACCACAAGTACGAGATCGATCGAGATCGACCGGTCGTCCGTTCCCGGCTGGCATGATGGTAACGGCCGGGCCGGATCTGATTTGCTTGCAGAATCCTCTTGAATGCAACGCGATGCATCATCATCGTTTGCTACCCATAGTCGCATAGGGCTGAATTGTATTGTAGCGACAGACCGATATTCAATACTGTATAATTTATTTCGGGGAGCCGTTTTGCGTACCTCACGTGCATGACTGAAATCTTGCATTGATTACATTTTGGCACCCTCTCTGTTTCAAAATATATGATGGTTAGGACTAATCAACTAGCTTGTCCTAAATTAAATGTCATATATTCAAAAACTGTGCGAGTACAAGATTATTGTCTCGTGCTCATTACATGTGCAAACTGTGTGAACTTGTAAACATAAACGCTGGTCCTTTGTGCTGTCAAAATACATAGAATACGGTCTTAGAACGATGATCGTCAATACAAATTTACTATTGAAAATGGTATATACTGAGGGACCCACCATCAAACTGTTACTAAAAATAAAAAAATGAATATAAAGAGTGAGAAAGTCTTCAAACGCTTTCTTTTTACTCCTAACTAGCGAACATGACTACGTGTTGCAATAGGTCGTTAACCTATTGTGTAGTCCTAAGGCCCATAATTAGCTAGCTATCTTGTTGGATTTGATTGGGCTTGCCTAATCTTACTTTAACTAAAACCTAAGGTGCTTAAAAAATGCTAGCTGCAACAAAAAAAAAATCTTGTATGAGAAATTCACTGAAGAGATTGACTTTGCTTAAGTAGGTGGCCATTCCCTATATCAATTGTGGGGTTAGAAAATATGAAAGGCTAGACATACATGTGTGTGCCAAGTGACGACACACATGGGCTCGGACTTGGACAGCTAGGCCCCAACATGTGTGGTGTGATGCTAGTAAGGTTTTACAACTCTAAACTAAATGAGAAACGACAAACCAAGGGATAGAAGAGAGGTGAGAGCAAGAAGGATTGAATAAGTGGCAGAAGAAAAGTGATGTGAGTGAGGGTTTGATGGACCGAGAAGCGGAGGAAGAAATTTTCATACTTTACTATTAGGTATATATAGATATCAATTTATCTTACGGATGCTACAAAATCAAAGTGCATGCATCTCAAAAGCACCGAAAACCCAATATTTTGATACAACTTTTTTAGGATAAAGATACATATGGCCTGAATAATTATCGGCCCAAACTCGTGAAAATACATCTTCTTATTTTAATTGGACGCGGGGAATATTGTCTTAGAAGAACATTGACCATCAGCATAAATGAATTGCTGAGGACTTGCTTGGGTCTTGAACTAGTTTCTAGCTAGTCTAATTAATAAAGTTTAGGTGATTAAAGTTTAGATGACTAAAGTTTGATCATGTGTTCTTTGCATACATGGATTACTAAGAGAGACTAGCAACTAATTGGACTGGACTGAACATTAGTGCATCCATTTATTAGATACTCTAGTACTATCTTTAGTCACTTACCATCAACATATATTTGAATTTTATTACAATACAATAATCTTTTAATGCCATAAATCAGGTCAAAGGTGTGATAATGAAGGGGGTGGGAGCTTGAATACCCAAACTGATGAAGTGCATGCTCCGTCGGAGTATTAACACCAAGTATTCAAGTGGTGTAGCAGAAGAGTTCAGTGCTACATCGGCTATACACCAGGTAGCTCCCCTTGACTAGGGGCACAAAGCATCAAGCACATATAGTTTAGTACCGGCATGCACAGCTCAGTAGTACACGGCTTGACCATGCATTGGAGCTGCTCGTTCGGCATCATGGCGCCTTTATATAATTGCTGGTCTAGGATCTGCTCCATGATAATTCTTCCTGCATGATGTCTGACACGGGCCTCATGCATGCACGCTGATTTTTCTCGATCGCTCGTTCGAGCTGGTGCTGCCAACGCAATCCAATGCAATGCATGCAGGACGAAGACGACGATCCATCGAAAAAAGTTTTCCACGGAACAAATCGATGCACCGCATTGACCACCCTGCGCCATCTTGAGGGCGGCCGGGCACGTACTATGGCAGCTGCAGCAACAGCAGCTGCTTCTTCTTCTTCTCCTTCCTTTTGCAGCTGGACCATTAAAACTTTCTGCCCATGCACTTCATTGCACCCTCATCATGCCTCTCGAGAAACAATGCAGCTCATTAGTGTTCTGCCTGCCCTAATATTTGCAGGCGCTCCCCCCTCTCTCTCTTTCTGAAAAAGGGATTATATATTCCTTTTGCCGGAGCTCCTTAACTGCGAGTATGCAGTAGTACTATGCATACAGTTACAGTGCATGAAAATATCAAGGTGCTACTACTAACAATTACTACTAAAAATTAAGAAATGCGGATTAGAACTGAACATGCATGAGTCTATGGAGCTTTGACCAAGCATGAAAACAGCTGAGCCCCCTGCTGCAGCTTGCTGACGGAGCATGAATGCACGAAGCTACTCGCTGTAGCTGATGATGATCTCTAATGGGCTAATGGCTAGGACCATGCATGCATGATGCACTTGCACAGAGCACCAAGTATTGTATTGTAATAAAATTCAAATATATGTTGCTTCTGCACTGTTGCATCATAGCCGCGTCGACTCGACCATAGCTATACAGATATCCCTTCCGCTTTCTGCTGCTCATCCCCAAAGCGAAAAAAGGGCAACGAGGAAGAATCCAACACCCGCCGAATCGAGTAACAAGGCCTTTCGATTTCCGCTGCTCGCGATCGAGTGCCCGCCTGCCGGCCGTGGTAGACTGGTAGGCCAGCAGTATCCCAGCCAGCCACTGCCAGCGGGCAGCGGCACCGTCACCGAGAAAGCTCTGCTCCGGACCTCCGGTAGGCGGTAGTGGCTACCACCTGCAGCGAAGCGATAGCGTGCATCGGCCCATCGGTGGTTCGGATCTGCAAAGACATGGACCGATGGCGTTGGCGAAGAAGCAATCACTACGTACTAGGGCTACCACTAACAGCGTACAATGATGGCCTAGCTTTTAATCCGTAATCATGTTTGCGCTCCCTCTGGAGATTGCAGAGCTGCTTCTCCACTGTAGGAGTATGTCGATGGCTCTATGTCATGCTCATGCCTGCAAACCTGCAGCAATAGGAGCCTACAGATGCGCGATGATGCAATGCACGACCTGTCGTCACAGTCTCACTAGTGTTTGTTTGGGGTCAAGATTGCAGTGTGTGTTCTGCCAGGGCCTTTCTAGGGGGGAAAACAGGGGAAGGGCCTCACTAGCGAAATATGTAGCCTGGTCAGGAATTCAAAGATCAAGATCCTCTCTATTTTTTGTAAACAAAAAATGATTTTGAACCGTGGTTCAGCCGTTGAGGTCAAGGTTTCATTCATGATCCACGGTCAAATCTTCAGGTCAAGATCGCAATCCGGGTCGGATCTCGGCCTGTAACAAAGAGGCCAGAGTTTTATGCCTCTTCATTACTAGTAGTAGTACGTAGTAGCTAGCAACTACTGTTAGGGAAAATGTACCTAAAAAATATACTCCGTAATGATTTCCCATAACCTATCAAAATAAATAAATAATAAATCAGTGAAAAAAATACCATGTGAGATGGGAGTAGAAAATTCAAAATTCTGAGAAGTAGTTCGGTCGGATTCGACGGTGTTGATCATCAGTTCATCATGTTGTATGAAGGGAGGCTAAAGCAGCAATGACTGGCTGAAAAGATGAGAAGGGGATCATCAGGGGTGGCAAGAAAGAAGCAGGGCACAAGACAACACAGGGATGCGATGATGAGCCATGACCCGGGAAGAGCCATCATTACGAATCTTGGGCCGGCTAAGGCCCATAATCATCATCATCATTTGGAGCCCTGTCTGCCGCTACCTCCTCTTTTTCCTTTATCCCCATTTTGCCCTCTTATGCACTTGATTTACTGCCCATTTTTGGACCCGAAATTCCTAACATCTCCGAGAGGCTGAACCGTTTTAGGATTGATATAGTCAATATAAAAAACTCGTTGTCAATATGCATATTGGTGACTACTGGAAAAATCTCTTCATTTTTCTTTTAATCAATTTACACTTGACTTGATTTGTCCTTTTATCATGTAGTATACTTGGCATGGATTATGACCACTGTCAAATACTGCTATAGCATTTAGCGAAGAGTTTCCCTCAACGCAATAGCTCACTATACCGCTGCTATAGGCTCATAGCCTGCTACTTAGTACAATCATGTTGTGGCAGCAGCTAGCGGGCTGCCTGCGTGAAAGTGCATATGTCACCCTAGTGAATTTTGGTGAGTTAATGACAATCAATTTAGGGACTAATGATGTGTAATGAGCTTTATGAACAACGTGGAAAGCAAATGGATGACTATTGATGTTAATGATCCCTCAAGATGAAAAAGAATGACGATATGTACTCAAGAATGTGTTTTATTCACTTTATCTTTTGAATTTGTGTTTAGGAAACGTCATACTATAAAGAGGGGCGTAACTTTGGAGTGAAGAAAATTCAGGATGTATTGGCTAGCCATTTCTTTTGGTTGAAGATGAGGCGCGATGTTGAGTGTCATGTGTCTTATTATACCACTTGCAACAAAGCTTGTCTTGCTTGAATCCACATAGTTTATATGTCATTTATATGCCTCTTCCTGTTCATAGTGTTCCCTAGGAGGATATTTCTGTGAGCTTTGTTTTAGGGTTACCTAGAACAAAGAGGGGGAGGAATAGTATATTTATGGTTGTGGATCGTTTTTCTAAAATAGCGCACATCATACCCCGTCACAAGAGTGATGATGATACACACATAGCTGATTCATTTTTCAAGGAAGTTATGCGTCTACATGGATTGCCCAATACTATTGTTTCTTATCGTGAAGGCAAATTTCTGAGTCATTTTTGGAGGACATTATGGAATAAATCGGGGACCAAGCTACTATTTTCTAATATCATCCCTAAATGATGGTCAAATAGAGGTTGTTAATCACACTTTATCTACTTTGTTGCGGGCTTTTCTAAATAATAATTTGAAATCATGTAAAGATTATCGACCTCATATTGAGTTCACTTGTAACAGATCCATTCACTCCATCACCAAGGTAAGTCCATTTCAAGTGGTGTATGGCTTCAACCCGCATGCTCCTATTGATTTACTACCTGACCTCCTTTTGAAACAATGAACATGGTGCTGCACAACATGCTAAATTTATTTTGAAGATGCATGAGACAACTAAGGCCTTGTTTATTTGAGCTTTTGGCAAATCTTAGGCAACTAGCTTTTTGACCTTACAAAAGCCAAAAATCTCACGGAATCCAAAAGCCAGAGGCTCCATATAATGAGCTTCTAGGCTTTTGGCTTATGTGAGCTTTTTGGCTTTTAGAAGGTGCAAAAGTGGAGGTCCAAAAGCTCCTAGAAAGCCCAAACAAACAGGCCCTAAGAGTAATATTGAATCCATGACGGAGAAATGTAGAGCTAGCTTATGGTAGCTAGGGTAGAAATCAATTAACTTTTGAACCTAGTGATCTTGTTTGGTTATATTTGCATAAAGATCATTTTCCAAACTTGAGAAAATCTAAACTCATGCCTCTAGCTAATGATCATTTTAAGGTACTTGATGAGAAGATTAATAATAACACATATAAACTTGAGTTGCCTGCAACTTTTGGGGTTAGTCCCACCTTTACCATTTTAGATTTGAGGCTTTATGTAGGTGAGGAAGATGAACTTGCACTGAGAACATCCCTACCCTAGGCACTCAACCATTACAGGGACCAATTATACGAGCTCATGCATGTCACTTAAGTCATAAGGTGAATTCTTTACTCTCACTTTATATTGATTCTAAGGATTTTATGCTACTAAATTATTGTGATATTTTGATCCTAAGGAATATGAGAGTGGCGCCTATGGACGAGTCAAGCCGTGTGGATCTTCAACCAATTTCAATTCAGGGTTAGAGTTTGGTTTGGATTTAGCAAACAATCTTGCACTAGATCAGCGATAACTCCCTCACACGAAGTCCAATTAAGACGTCATTGGATGCGTCAAAAAGCTAACGAAGATAGCTTTGTTTTGGTTCTAGTCCTAGGTGCAAATTCGACGTAGAACATTTTGTATCATTAGCATAATGTGTTGTGTCAGGGTTTGTAACAAGTCGGGCCTTATAAGCGTGTTCGGGTCCAAGCCACGTGGGTGCCCCGCTGGACGCCCACAACGCAAGGACGTCCTCTTTTATGCCTAGCTGCTGCCATCGAGTTTGTTTTGGGTTTTGTTGAGTTCTATTTTTTTCATTGTGAAGCAGACATTCTTCATAATACTTGTGACACTGAGTTCGACTGTTGTCAGGGCCCCTATTCTTGTTCTATTCGACTATGTCAATTAGTCCATTCGAATTTTGAACTTGAACCTTTGCATCTCCTATACTTCATTCACATGTGCAAATTTAGATTGCGTGTTTTTACGTTCTTGCTTGTGTTCTTCGATTCGTATGTAGGAAAAGCCTTCTTAGCTAGGTCAATAATCGTGGTGTGCATGGTTTATGACCAACGAAGCATTAGTGTAACGGTTGCAGGAATTCAAATCTTACTTGATTAGAATCCTAGATTATGAACGTCGAATTCTTCACCAAACGAATCTACCATACCTACTGAAAGAACGAGCCACCAATGGAGGTTTCATTGAACTCCAATTAGCAATAATAATTAAAGATAAAATTACAACGCTTGAAATATATATATTTTTTGAACACACAAACGCTTGAAATATGCATTGTCTCTGTGCATATATATTCCATCACTGCCATAAACCTACTCTGTGTTTACTGTAGCCAATATCTCTGGGTTATGCAACTTTTTACACACATCGTTGTGGAGATCCCTAAAGCCCTTTTGATCATGGGCATGTACCACTAAGTTGCTAAATGCTAACAAAGCACCGAGGGCTCACATGTCAGCCGAGTGGGCCATCGCCATACAGGTTACACCAAAGTTACGACAGAAGTATACACATTAGAAGAGAAACGGCGCCGCCTATTGAAGTAGGAGAGGGACGAGCCTATAAATAAGCTCCACCGCCCCGGGCACACCGAGCACACAAACCATTCCCCAACTCCTCCCTTTTTGCCGTCAGCCTGCCCCCACAAACATCCGACAGTCTCATCTGCGTCTCCCTGCTTTAGGCCAAGGTCACCGGGCGAGCACCGGCTCCACCACCACCACCACAGCTAGCACAAGGTCGATGCCCCTCAGGCTCAGCACCACTCTCTAATTTTGCTAGTGTGTGTGCTCAGTTCTGCTCCATTCATGCTCTGCTTCCTTGGCTTTCATGGTGTCACATTGTTCGGTCACACGCTCGACCGTTCTATGGAGAGATGGATGGATGCCATCTTCCTTTTTGTTTGCTTCTAGCTTGCTTCTCTTGTTCTCTTTATTTATGCATGCATCCGTCGATTTGTTAATGCGTCTGAGATGACAGCTCGCTTTTTTTAATATGCCGGTGATTATGCAATTGTCATGAGCAGAGAAGCAGCATCTTTTTCTTTTCTTTTGCCCTTTTAGCCGCGTGGCCATGCATATGCATGGCATGAATTCATGTCAATGCAGATAGCTGATGTGGTGTTGCGGTGCAGGCGGCTGTAGCAGCCATGGAGAGGCTGAACACGAAGCTGTACCTGAAGAACTGCTACATCATGAAGGAGAACGAGCGGCTGCGCAAGGCGGCCCTGCTGCTGAACCAGGAGAACCAGGCCCTGCTCTCCGAGCTCAAGCACCGCCTCGCCAAGTCCGCCGCCGGTGGTGGCGGTGGTGGCGGCGGCGGCAGCAACAACAGCAAAGGCAACGCGGCAGCGGGGAACCGCGTCTCGCCCAAGCCCGGCGTCGACGCCGCTCCGCCGTCTTCTCATCAGGCCGGCGGCAAGGGCATGCCTGCCACCAAGCCCAAGCCCAAGTAGGCTGCAGTCCATCACAACTCGATCACAAGCTAGCTATGTGGCTGCTGCATGCACGTACGGTGTCGGTTTAGTCATCACTTAATTAGCTCCGGATGTGATGTTACTTCGTTTCAGGAATGTTTGTTTAATTAGTTTTAGTTGATGGAAACCTCAACTGATGTGTGATAATGATCTTGTAATGAATGGATGACTAGATCGATCGGAGGTATAGAGAGATGTGCGTTTCTGAATTTTGTGAGCTGAGCTTCTTCACGATGGTTTGAGTGGCTTCTGAAATTCCTGTAATTCTCGCAGCGTTCTCTTTCTTTTTTCCGGTTTGTCATCCTGCGATCTCAAACAGTGCTTCAAGATCTTGTCGGTACACGTACTCAGTACGGCAGTTGTTCATACCAACTACGGAGAGAATCGGCCTATTTCGCTTGAACTTATCAGTTAGAATCTACGGTATTTTTCTCTCATAACAAAATAGTTTTAGCCGGCTTTAATACCAGCCGAACAGGCCCAATGCTCACCATCTATGATCTGTTTCCGTATCGCTTTGCAAGTTTGAGTACTACTGTAACTTCTACCGCAGTCGCAGCATGTATATGTACGTACAGAGTAGAAAACTTAACGATACAGCAGTGTCGCCTGAACAGTTAATAAGAAAAAGCAAGTTCACATGAGACATGACAAAGGTGATTATCCTCTTTTATATGGCATTGATAGCTTTCTTCCAAGACAACATACTGTGCATCTATAAAATCAGCATGGCATAGTCTACCAGATGACACTTGAACTTGTAGTTGACATGAAAGTGTGAAATTTCAAGTAAAGATATATAGTTTTCAGTTTATTTCATTGTTGTTGGACACCCGTTCTTCGGCGGCTGCTCAGCAGGTGTCAGACTCGCCTCTGTTGTCGCCGCAGGCGTGCCACAGCTCACGCCACCACGGATGAGATCACGGTGGGCACACCCACTCCTAGCGACATGACTTCCACACCAAGTGTGGCTGCTCCGCGTCTCGTACAGTTCTCTCAGCTCAAGCGGAAGTCGCCTTTAATTGTCAGTCCACCATGGCAGAAGGCGGGAACCACAAAGCAGCCCCTGCCGGTCAGAGTCAGGAGCCAACTACTTGCCGCTCAGCTGCTGGCACACATACTGGCCTCTAAGCGCGGCGAGGTACTCCTCATGAAGAAGATGGGCATCCTGTGACTTGCAGAAAAGAGCTCTTCTCAGATGCTGATGGAGGGTCGCGCAGCCAGCAGCGGAGACACCTAACTTCGTAGGTTGTAGCGCTGCACTTAGCTCGTTTGTAAACCATTTATGTAATATCGAAGGTTGAAACTGTTTGTTAGGACGGTCCAGCCTTCGATTGTACAACCTCGTAGGGCGTTCATCAGCAGCGCGTCGTTTGTATGGTTGAACTCTTCTTCTAAGTTACAATGATGTGCAAATCTTTTGCGTATTCAAGAAAAAAATAAAGAAAAGCTTAACCTATAGGGATTTTCTGTCACATACGTATCTTGAATAGATTTGGCGCGCAGTGTCACTTTTTTTCCCACCTGCTGGTCTTTACCACGCTATGATGATTGGCTACAAATAGATAGTCCAAGATTCCTGCGATGCACATGCCAGTATGCCACTGCCATCATCATTCGACATGGTCTACTATACCTTTCATTTGTCCTACCCACTTAATACGTATACAAAAAAAAAACAAGAAGCTCATTGCATCGAGAGCTAGCATGCGCTTCGATCCTCTGTTCCTCTCCTGATCACTCGCTACTCTACCTGTCACTAGATAATTGACTTGATAAACACTTAAAAGAACCTTCGATCTAACATGAAAGGGCCTCTGGTCCGGTGGTAGGGGGGTCCAGTAGGACGGTACCACCAACCAGGGTTCAAAATCATGCTGAAGGCTAGAGTCTCCCAATCTCTTTCTTTGCGTGAGGCACACGTGTGTGGTATGAGTGTGCGGGTTATGTACGTCTCATTGAACCCTCTTAAAAAAAACCTTCCATCTAACAGCAATGTGATTCTTGCTCGCTACATTCATCTTGGCAATGTTGGCATGCCTTCCTTTAGCTTGGGTCACAAACAAAAGCAGACCAACATCAAAATGGCCAGCCATGCATGTGGCAACCAAGTCTCCTGGACCATGAACTCATCGTACACGAGGCCGCCAGTCATCACGTCTTGAGCTTGTAATGCGCCTGTGTATAATCGACAGCCCCCTGCCCGATTCTTTCAAAAAAAAAAAAGGTAATGCCTCTGTGGCAGCAAGAAAGGATGCATTTTCAGTTAGCTCGAACGCAGTAGAATTTCAGAAACAGCAGGAGAAGAAGATGATGAGTGGGATCACATCAGATGGAGCTCGATATATAACTGCTGGTCGCAGACACACTTATGCCCTTTATCCAGCCGTCTTCAGTTAGATCTCACTGCCACATCATTGCGCAAGATATGTTCTGATCCTATACTATCTTAACAGCTCCAGCATCTCCCCCTTACTTGTATTTACATTCATAATGCGATTTGTCGGGAAGTGAGATTTGCAAGAACGCAGATAAGATAAAGCTACATACTCACTCGGTAAAATGGACGAGGAACATCCTTTGTGGTACCGATGACCCATTGGCCTTCCTTTCAGACAGTTTCACACTCACATAGGAGTATTTCGTATTTGGAGGGACGATACAATACAACTGCGTGCTGCAATGGGTATGGTCCAAGGGACCAGTGTCGAGAACTATGAGTATGTCAGTACATAACCTGCCAGATGCAAAATTTGTACACATGCATCCTGTGAAGCACCTGATCATGAATCATAATGCCAAGTGCCAAAAGGCATCGAGTGCTGCTCCGAAGCACAATGATCATGGGGTGATACGAACAGATGCGAAGCTAAGCTGCTGCACCGAGCGTGCAGTACGTCCAGAGGAAATGGCGTTATGATACTTGGTGTACGTTCTGCTACTACCTAACAAGCCTGCCCCCATGTGTTCTCTGGAAAAACCAACCACCAATATTTTCCTGTCGTCCACTCCTCGTGATCAGCTAGCGCTTTCTTCACTTGGGAAGAAATTCAGGCAATCAGGGCGCTGGAACATGTACTACTCGAGATGCACACACTAGGAACATGTTCATTCAGTGCTAAACCAGAGTCGTGCTAACTGCTAACATCCGACACGCACAAATATTTACATACTGCAGCCGCAGCCACACGGCAGCACGTCAAGTTCGTCCAGCCTTCCAAGTGCTTTTACCTAGGGTCACTAGCACTTCCCTACTACACTACAAAGTACACCACTACACACAGCCACGGCAATGACAGAAACCAGGATGAGGCAGCCCAAAATGCCACTACGCTACTTCCACTAACTACTGCTACTACAGCACAAAAGATTACTACCAGATCACGCTAACACTAGAGGGTCGCAAAATGGGTCGCATCGCACGACCATCATCTCCTAGACACGCCACGAAACGACTTCACTCGTCGTCCGGCACCACCTCCATGTTCTGCTCCTCGTACTTCACCCCAACCAGGAAGCAGATGCTCACCTGCACGACATGAACCAGGTCACGGGTCACAACAATGGCAATCGCCATTGCACGAGCCACCCACCAGGGAGATGAACACACGCGCGCGCACACACACACACACACCTGCTTGGGGTCGTACACAGCATACTCGTTGTACTCGAGCGGGCCGTCCTTGTTCGCCGACGGCACCAGCTTACCGCAGGGGACCGTCACGCCGTCCCTCCAGGTGATGTGCTCCGACTCGTCGGGAGTCTTCCTCCCGACACCTTTCACGCGCATCTTCTTCTCTTCCAAGACTCGTGCCTCCTGTTCAGCGTTCATCAAAACAGATGGCTGCATCATTCAGAGCCTAGCTAGGATAGGAGTGGCTGCTTCAAGATCACTGGAGTGGAGGGAAGGCTCACCTCTGCCCCTGGCGTTCCGGTTACTTCTTTGATCTCTTCTCCCAGAGAGGCCACTGCCAGGACCAGGTACCCTTCTGGGCGGTCCACTGCAGTGAAGCCGTAGCGAGCAGCTTCAGCTACTGCGTCAGAACAGACTATGGCTTTGCCGAACTGCAGATGTCACATGAAATCACTTAACACATCTCTCGAATTTCTTGCGAGTGGATGACATGATTATCGATGGGTTACTTACCATGTACCCTGGCACAGGAAGATGACAGACAGCAGGCAGGAATCCTTTATGGAGGTGCCTAAGCAAGTTAGAGCTTCTAGTCCCTGTCCGAAAAACAAGAGGCCACATATATGTTAAACTAGAATGAATACATGCTTGTGTTGTGCCATTGAATCATGCATGGCTAGCAATCGTGATTCATGATTCCGTGAACAGAAAAAGACTAACATACCACACCAGAGAAGAATTTTGTTTGGCAGATTCTTTATTTTCTCGTAAGAAGGAAATGCACTGGATTCAACAGCATATATCCTCTCAACACACACACCATAGACCTGCACCAACGTTTAATCATTGGACATGTTCCGTGGAAGAGGAATTAGGATCTACAGGCAGAGAAGTACGAGATCTTACCACATCCTCCACCTTGACAGGCTCGTATGTTTTCTCTAGGTACTTCAGAATCATCTTGTAATCTTCTGAATCCTCAGTAACAGGATTGATCGAACAACCGAGCTTCTTGTAGCATTCAGACAGTGGATCGTCCAAAGTCGAACCGAACACATCCCCAATGAGATGAGATGCGTCGTTTATATCACGTACTGTCTCAAAACCTGATGCTACCTGCATCCACATGAATTGTGAGAAATTCAACCAAGTAGATCAGATGACACAAAACAAAAGTAGAGTAGTGCATAACAATAACATACATTGCCAGCAATCTGCTCAAACCCCCTCATCGTGTATGGTCGAGTTCTGGGAAACAGAGTGAACCATTTGCTGCTGACTTCAGTCCAGAATGCATCTGCTTCTGGGCCAGACTCTGCTACCGACTCTGCATCTCCTCTCATCTGAAGCAGCATATCCTCCCCTGCCAGTTTGAACAATTGATGATAAACTGCTAGATAGCGGAACCAGAAGCACTGAAGTTCTAACCTCTCTTCAGATGGAGATCAGTAAGCATCCCTATGGGAAGGTCAGGCAGGTCCTGGGCCATCTCCATCAAAGCATACCTGTCACACAAATTATTAAAATCAGGTTTCCATATTGCACCTTTTTTTTCAAAAGGCTTTTCCATATTGCATCTGCTGTGCTGACTTCTCTAAGAACGCAGAACATTCTATGAAAATACCAACCAAAAGATTATATTTCTGACTAGAACTTATAAAAAGTAGTTTCTGTTCATCTAAAGGATACCTGTAAATCTCTTGGCCACATAACTGTTTCACAAGGAAAGAAACAGAAGGATCAAGCTTGCAGTGTGCTGCTGCAGAATCCAACTGACGAAGTGCTGCACCTCCATGACGCACATCAACCCCAACATCCTGCCACAAGATTAACATACAATACACTTCTTGAATCTATGAAATCATGAGGAAGGACTAAATAAACAAAAAGACTAAGCAACATCTTGAAATTAAATTAGTGCAAGATCAAAGTACCATGTCCAAGGGATACATCTTCATACTCTTCTTCTCAAACTTCTTCTGCCTTTCCCAAGGCTCAAACTCATTTCCAGTAACCTCCTCAAACAGCCGAACAAATTCTTTAATAGCACCATTGACACGGCTACCAAAATCCTCCACTCGTTCCTCTGCCATCTGGTCATGACCAATTGGACCTTTCTTGTAGAATAGGTGCAAACGATTTTCAGGGACCATAACCAGCTGCATGATGCATAACCTGCACAGAAAAAAGTTCTGAGGTACATGAACCAAAGTACAATCCACAGAAAGCTATACCCCAATACACATAAGAAATTGAGAATACAAATACATACTCATTCATCTGGCATCCTAGATCGCATACAGCAAAAGCACAGTTGTAGATTATGCCATCCATCTCAAAGACACATCCACCATCTTTATCGAGTTTAGAGTCCTTGTGGACAAATCTCTTGCCAGCAAGTTTAACCTACTCAATCCAATCATTGTTATTGAGGAACTAAATAAATTTGTAACTGACAGATGCAAAATGCACTAGATTAAGGCAAAAACCTCTGCAGCTAAGGTTTCAATGGCCGCCTCACTTGGATCAAGTTGGCCCAGTGGTAGTCCTCGGCCTTCCGGAACAAGGTCAGAAACAATATCATAGGCAGCTAAAGGCTGAACTTCCTTCTTCTTGATACTATCAATTATCCAATTCTCACTAACAACAGGAGTTCCACGCTCCCTGCACAGAGTTAGTTGTCAAATTTAGTTCAACTGTGCTATCTATTTCTATGACAACTAAGAGCAAGGAACATGTCAAAAACAGAAGTATATTAGGCAAGGGATTACAGTGCTTCAGCAAATCCTCCAGAGCCACCTTTATCTCTCTCAGCTGGAGAAGCCACTACACAGGTAACACCTGCAAACACAAATGCACCAATATCATTAAGGATCTGTTATCATACCATCATCAAACACCATACAGTTCATTCATGACAACTAATGGAGGAGCATATGATACACACCAAGCACGGAATTGTTGACCTTCCCTCCATGCTTCATAATCTGCTCCTTGAAGTAACCCTATCCATTTTCAGCATTAACAGAATAAGATTCATGAAGCTCAGCAGCACAGGTCTAACTGTCTAATAGATGAGGTTGTCAAAGGCATTACATGTGAGCGTGACATCCGTCCAGACAAGGCAATCATCATGCCGGAGAAGATATGGGCCTCTTCATCAACATCACATTTTGGGAACTCCTTTCCTTCATGTTGCTTCAGCCACTGCAAAACAATAAACAAAATGCAGATAGTATATGAGCATTTATTAACTAAACCATGCTCAATGCAGTGCTCAGTACTTATACTATACAAACTGCAATCTCATTACCTTGCGGATAAAATCATCTTTTATGTCATCAGGAACTTTTATAGGACCATTTTTCCTTGAAGGGTCGTTAGTACTGAAAGTACAGCGTGCCCACTCGCTGTAGTTGCCAGTGCACTTGTATTTCTACCCCTTAAATTCAAGCTGACCACCACATACTGGGCACTTCTCGAGAGGCCCATAGAACATCATATCCTCACTGCAGACATGGAGAAAATGGTGAGACATTTAGCATGTGAACGAGGAGGTTCTAGTTGCAAATAAAGAACTCCAGTTTCAGCAGAAGTTCAGTACCATCTTGGAACGACTGCATCCTCCGATCCAGAAGCATCTTGCTCATTGGCTTCAAGGATCTTGCGCATGTCCTCCAGGGAGAGGTGTTCTCCTATGGCCTTGCACAACTCTGCAAAGTCTCTTGCGGCAGCTTCTCTCCCATTGGGCTCAGATTCATCAGCTTTGAGCTTGTTGCTCTTCGTTGGTGCCTCTGCCTCCCCGTCTTGCCCTTTATTGTCGGCAGACTTTTTGTTCTTGGAGGGCACATGCTGGCCCCTTTCCTGGTCCTCATTCTCTGATTTCTGTTTTTTTTTAGGCGAGCTTGCCTTCTTCCTGGGCAGCTGCATGCACCCGTGATCTCGTCTCGTGCACCTCCAAGAACAGAGTTCAGACTTTTGTCAGACAAGAATATTCAGAAACTACATGACAGAATGGGTAGAAAGAAAATGCCACAGCTAAACATAACAGAAGAACTAAAACGTTAGATTTCGGGTATGTATCACAAGGATCTTTCATGAAACAATAAGAAGATTCGTAGCTGGTCTATTCGAGATAGATGCTTTAGACGGAAACTTCCCACTCTGAAGTGGAAATATACGAGGGCAGTTCTAGCATAATGGGCACATCTCTATAATCTTCTAATAAGCAAAAAGTAGCAAAATTTACACAGATAGACAATGAACAGTTACCAAGCCATTCGTTTCATTCAAGTATTTTTTTTTTCTGTACAAGTTAAAGAATTGGAACTACACATGATTGGTGAGATAATCCTAGGTACAGTTACAACTAAGGGCATTTCAGGTCAGCGGATGCTGAACAAATGAAACAGTGAGGTGTACACTTGTCATCGATTGGCGAACCATGCTATTGGCCTCAGTCAAATAAGGCACATTAACTTGTCATCGATTGGCGAACCATGCTGAACATCCAATCTAACTTCTTGTGCAAAAGACCTATTTCAACCCAAGAATACAAAAAATGACCAAAACAGGAGGGAGCGACCGAACATGTAACTAGATGAGAGCAATGTTCGTAGCCAAGGACGAGCAGGGCAACAGAGCTACCATGGCGACCGGACGAGAAGAAACCGTCAGCAAGAAGCATCAGAGTCTTGACGGTCCTCTATCGCTGGGGATAAATAGGAAGGGACCGGGTGGTGGGGATTGTGTTAAGATACTTAAATATATTGTAATCACTGTGACGAGATTGACTTGCACTGGTTTAGGATATATAATGCTGTAGAATATATTGTTATACTTTTAGAAGGATAATTTCCTTGTAAATAGGATCTAGACTTTTCTATTACCGGCAAGCAATCTCGGCAACATCTTGTAAACCACGTCAGGGGTGTTTTCCTGGCCTATATTAACATGCAGGTGGGCACGACAAAGGTGCGACGCTTTAATACCTGGAATTCTCACATGGTACCAGAGCCTCTTCTCTAAAAAAAACAGAGAGAAAAGAGAGTTGTGAGATAATGATCCTATCTACACCAATTCTCACGGCGAGTTCATCCAACAGTCTCATCGCCACGAACGCCATCGGTCATCCCGTGACTGAACGGCTCACCAAGACGAACTATCTGTTGTGGAAGCTTCAGGTTCTTCCTGCGCTTCATGGTGCCCAATTGATCGGGTACGTTGACGGCACGGTCCAAGCTCCGGCCGTCGAGATCGATGATGACAAAGAGAAGAAGAAGGTGCCGAACCCTGCATACGTGAAGTGGCTAACACAAGACCAGCAGGTCCTCAGCTACCTCGTGTCTTCGCTTTCTCGTGAAGTGTTGACACAGGTCGCGACGTGCACTTATGCTGCACAAATTGTGGAAGGCGTTGGAGGACATGTATGCCTCCTAGACGCGTGCACGGATTGTCAACACACGGATCGCGCTGACGACGACTCAAAAAGGCAACATGACGATTGCCGAATATGTCGGCAAGATGAAGACGCTCGCCGATGAGATGGCCACCGCCGGCAAGCCTATTGATGACGAGGAGCTCGTGAGTTATATCATCACAGGCCTTGATCTGGAATATAATCCAGTTATCTCTGCAGTCCTTGCTCGTGTTGAACCGATCACGGTCAACGAATTGTACACGCAGTTGACAAATTTTGAGCAGCGTGTTGATCTCTGGCATGGGGGGTCGCCCTCTTCTGTTAACACGGCCGTGCGCCGTGGCCGCGGTGCTGGCCGTGGTGCTGTCCGTGGTACTGGTGCTCGTGGAAGAGGTGCCAACCGTGGACGTGGCAATGGTGGCCGTGGACGTGGAGGCTTCCCAGGCAACAACAACAAGAATCGGCCTGCCAACAATTTCGTCAACAGTAACGGTGATAAGCCCATGTGCCAGGTCTGCTTCAAGGAAGGTCATACTGCTGCTGATTGTTGGCACCGTTACGATGAAACTTATGTACCTGATCAGAGGCTTGTTAATGCTGCTACGTCATCATATACTGTGGATACCAATTGGTATGCGGATACAGGAGCTACAGATCACATTATGGGCGAGTTAGAGAAACTAACCACCCGTGATAGGTATACCGGAGGCGATCAGATTCATACTGCTAGTGGCGTAGGTATGAACATTAGTCATGTTGGTCAATCTATTCTTCATACCCCCGATCGCAATCTTCACTTGGAAAATTTTTTTCATGTTCCAAATGCTAAGAAAAATTTAGTTTCAGTTCATCGTTTTACTACTGATAATCATGCCTTTATGGAATTTCACCCTGATTTCTTTTTTGTCAAGGATCAGGACACGAAGAAAACTCTTCTGCAAGACAGATGTAGACGTGGCCTTTATCCCCTTCCTTCTACATCCATCGATGCCAAGAGACATGTTTTTGGAATCAATAAAGTGTCACCATCAAGGTGGCACAGTTGTTTAGGCCATCCGTCTTATTTATTACTCAGCATGTTATTAGTACAAATAGATTGCCATGTTCTAGTGAGTCAAATAAACAATCTATCTGTGATTCTTGTCAAATGGCCAAGAGCCATCAGCTTCCGTATCCAAAATCCACTAGTATTTCTTCTGCCCCTTTACAGCTTGTGTTTTTCGATGTTTGGGTCCTGCTCCTGATTCTGTAGGTAGAAACAAATACTATGTCAGTTTCATTGATGATTATAGTAAATTCACCTGGATTTATTTACTCAAGTATAAATCCGAAGTCTTTCAAAAATTCCATGATTTCCAGCAACTTATTAAGAGACAATTTAATAGAAAAATTATAGCTGTTCAAACAGACTGGGGTGGAGAATATGAGAAACTAAATTCTTTCTTTACCAAAATTGGTATTTCTCATCATGTTTCATGTCCTCATGCTCATCAACAAAATAGATCAGCAAAGCGTAAACATCACCATATAGTCGAAGTGGGTCTAGCTATCCTTGCTAATGCTTGCATGCCTATAAAATTTTGGGACGAGGCCTTTATCGCTGCTGTCTTTCTTATTAATAGAACCCTAGCAAGGTTATACATTTTGCTACACCTTTTGAGCACTTGTATAATCAACAACCAGATTATTCATCACTTCGTGTTTTTGGCTGTGCTTGCTGGCCTAACCTTCGACCCTATAATTCTAGAAAACTTGAGTTTCGCTCAAAGCGTTGTGTCTTTCTTGGATATAGTAACCTACATAAAGGTTACAAATGCCTCGACATCTCCACTGCCCGAGTCTATATTTCTCGAGATGTTGTCTTTGATGAAGAAATATTTCCTTTTAAGGACCTACATCCTAATGCTGGAGCACGGCTTCGTTCTGAGATTCTATTGTTACCCTCTTCCTTGCGCGATAATTTTGGGGATGAACAATTAGATGACCACTTAACTAATGTTCCGGTTAATTTGCCACAAAATTTGGATAACAATGACAGTTTCCTACTGACAAATGATGCTGAGATGGTACAGGTACAGAATTTTCCAGGAGCTATACCACCCGAGGTGGATTCGTCCTTGTCCGCACCAGGAGCGCCTGCTGCGACGACGTCTTCTCCTTGCTTCGTGCGCGAGCAAGAAACGTGTCCTGCTGCTGTGCTGAGCCATGGGGAGGAGACAGCTGCCCCATCCGAAGTCTCCGTGCATGCCACGAACGAGACGACAGCAGGGACATACAGCCCAACGGTGGAAGACCAAACTCAGCATCCTGCATCCACTCAATTCCCAACAACCGGATCATCTGTGGAGCCAACTCCGGAGGCTTCTGTGCAACATAGGCCTGTCACACGACTTCAGCATGGGATTAGACAACCAAAAATCAGAACTGATGGCACAATCAGGTATGGCTGTTTTACTAGTACGGGTGAACCCCAAAATCTAGAAGAAGCTTTAAACGATGAAAGGTGGAAAGCGGCTATGGATACTGAATATCATGCACTCATGGAGAATAAAACTTGACATCTAGTTCCTCCGGAGAAGGGTAGAAATATAATTGATTGCAAATGGGTTTATAAAATCAAAAGAAAGGCTGATGGTACAATAGATAGGTACAAAGCTCGTCTAGTTGCAAAAGGCTTTAAGCAGCGATATGGTATTGACTATGAAGACACATTTAGTCCAGTAGTGAAGGCTACCACTATCAGGATGGTGTTGTCTATTGCAGTTTCTAACGGGTGATCACTTCGCCAATTAGATGTTCAGAATGCGTTTCTTCATGGCATTCTAGAGGAGGAAGTTTATATGAGACAACCTCCAGGGTATGAGAAGCAGTCTATGTCACAGTATGTATGCAAATTAGATAAGGCTTTATATGGTCTAAAACAGGCACCCAGAGCTTGGTACTCTCGGCTGAGTCAGAAATTACAAGATATTGGTTTCCAAGCATCAAAGGCTGATACTTCTTTATTCTTCTATAAGAAAGGTGACATTACAATATTTTTGCTAATATATGTTGACGATATTATAGTCACAAGTTCATCATCAGATGCTGTGGATGCACTTATCCAAGATTTGAAGAAGGATTTCGCATTGAAGGATCTAGGGGATCTACATTATTTTCTGGGCATTGAAGTAAACAAGGTATCTGATGGTATTTTATTGTCACAAGAAAAATATGCATCGGATATAATCAAACGTGTGAACATGCAACACTGCAAATCAGTTAGCACTCCGTTATCTACTTAAGATGGAGAACTACTCGGACCAGCGGATGTCACACGTTTTCGCAGTATTGTTGGAACACTAAAGTATCTTACTTTGACTAGGCCTGATATATCTTTTTCGGTCAATAAAGTTTGTCAATTTCTACATTCTCCCACTACCTCGCACTGGTCAGCAGTTAAAAGAATTTTGAGATATCTCAAGTTTACAGTAAGTACTGGTCTAAAGATAAAAAGATCAAACTCTATACT